CCCCCCCCCATCCTTCCCCGATGAATACTTTCGAACGCGTTTGAAATATACGGACTACATTTTGCAATTCGGAACTACACTTTCTGGCTCGTCCGTGAAAACACTTATGTGCACAGGGAAACTGATGGTACATATGTTGTTTTTAAACGGAGCCAGAAATTGAAGTTCCTGATTTCAAAATGCATTCCATTTCATCCACAGATAGGAGGATTAGAGTTCCTCTCTAAAAAATTGACCTTTTGTATCCATTTTATCTTTCGCGCATCATTTAACTGAACTCATGTCTTTTCTTTTCATTAGTGTAACTATTTTTGAAAATCATTACTTACCTTTGAATTTATCGTATTAAATTGTTTCTAGCTCTGTTTCGTGTTTCTTAAAGTGTCCAAGGTATGATATTCAGCTTTTGCGCCATACATTCTGAGTACGATTGATATTATTAAAATTTCAACCATTTGGTGGATTATTTTGGGAAAATCGAAATTTCAATCTGTAGGCAAATCATTTTGGAATTTTCGCTTCGATAATCATCTTCCACAGACTTAAAATAAAGGTTAAAGTATTGTTTCCAGTTTGCAACAGATTCAAAGTATCGATACCGATTGTTTATTGGAAACAGTACTGTTGGCTCTGTTTTAAGGCTTTGGAGGATGATTTTTGGCACCAACATTCCTCAATGTTTTATCTTGAGACTGAAATTTCGATTTTCTTAAAATAATTCAGCAGAAGGTTAAAATTTGAAGTATATCGATCTTTCTCAGGATGCATTGCGTAGAAGCTGAAGATCCTTCTTAAGGCGATTTGATGACAGCCATATTTTGTGTCGGAATGGCATGCGCTATATCGCATTGATTAGTTCCACGTTTTCAGATTTCTTGACAGTTTTATCGGATTTTGAGATCGCCATTTCTGTTGTCACGAGACTGAAGGATTCACTTAGCAAAGCCGAAGACATTTAGCGTAATAACGGCAAAGTTTTTTTCAGAAGGAAAATATCGCATTCGATACTGGTATTGCTACCCCCCTTGAATGCGAAATCTTTCCTCTGAAAAAACCCTGCCTTTATCACGTTTGATTTGTTCGTCAAATTTGGTAAATGAATTCTTTAGTACCGTGACAAC